TATTTGTATGTTTGACTCCATCAGGTACACCACAGTGACTTTAGTGAGAGAGTGCTGCCCAATTTTTCAGGACGACCTTACACCTCTCTCTATTCTCTATCTTTCATCCCATTTACACTTGCATGTCCACTGTGCACTGATTATCCTACTTTGTTATCTAATGAGTTTATCCGAGTGCAAACTTTTCAGGACCACAGTTTATCCCGAGTTTGGGGGGGCCATGCCACCCACTTTGGATACTTCTATCCCGATCATTCATGTCTAAAGCACTAGTATACTCTTTCCTTTGTTCTCTTCACACATTGAGGACAATGTGCAGTTTAAGTTTGGGGGTATTGGTGTATGTTTCAGTATTGCTTTAAAATTCAAATTTTGAGCATGTCTTGTGTATTTGAGGGATATTTCTATACTTGGTCCATTTTTAGCTATGATTTTGATCTTTTGAGGACTATATATTGCTTAAAATTTAAAAATTGCTTGACTTGAGAATCTAATACTCCTTGTATGCCTTGAGGATGCCATTTAGGAGTAAATTTTTTAAAAGATTGATATCTTGCTTGCATTTGTGGTTCACATCATCCTGAATTTGTGATTGTTTTGAGATTCATTCTAGGATTCTACACTAGCACCGGTGCACACTAACATTCATTTGTGGGGTACATGCTTTGTTGATTATTGAATTGGTTATATCCCAATTGGGTTAGTAATGCATTGAAAGCTTTCATTCTTGATAAAGGTGGATAACAACCCCTTTTCATTGAGTAGCCGGGATTCTTGCCTCATTAAGCAGTGAACTTCTCGCGCCGAAAGGTAGAGGGCCCAAACTCTAGGTTAATAATTGAGAAAAAAAAAAAAAGCAATAAAAGTGAGGACTTCTCCCAAAAGGCGAGAAGTGAGAAATGATTAGATGGTTGTTGTCTTGATTTGTAGCCTAGTTGATTTGAGTTTGTAAGTCCGTTGGGGTGTCTTAACACCTAATGCCTTAAAGCCATCTGGTTTGGGAGTCATTGACCTAAAGCTTGCTACATGAATCTTCTAGAAAGCTTAAGAGATCAACACATTGCACAATATTTCCATCTTTGATCCTCAATAAAAAAAAAGAAAAATAAAAAAAAAAAAAAAAGAAAAAGAGTGAAGAGAATAAGCGTACCTAGAACAATAAAGCTTTAATAAAAGGTCCACTCTCTTATCTTGATGATCGGTACTAGATTTGTGTGCTAGTTTGAGGGTAAGGATGTGATTACTTCTCTAGTTGGCTAAGATAGCAACACACTTGATGCCGGACCTCTCACATAGATTCTAGACTTGTTTCGATTTTCATGATCATTTTCTTGATGTGTAGAGGACCATACTTGCTTGCTTGATATTGAAAATTTGGGAGATTGCTTAGAAACGATTGAAAAATTGCATACTTGAGGTACTTTTCTCCCAATGCTTGTTTGCAATATTGGTGCCTCTTTTGAAAGAATGAGCTTAATGTTTGTGGGTACCATTTCTAGAAACCCTCACGAGACTTTACTCGTCCACTAGGGGTAACCTAGGGGTTTAAAAGGCTTGTTGCATATGCTAAATGCAATCGTGTTCCCTGCGAAAATGGTGTTATCATTTTACTTGCTTTCCAATTTATACTTGTATAGTTGTTTATTTCATTCCTTTACTTCTTAGTTCATTGCTAGGGACTAGCAATATTTAAGTTTGGGGGTGTGATGAGCACTGAAAAGTGCGCATTTAAACCCGTTAAGCTTAAACATTCTAGTACCTTTATCTATCTTACTTTGCCGTTTTAGACTTATTACGTGTTATTTATATTTTCAGGCACTAATCCCAAAATTGAGCTAACTCAGCCAAATAAGAGCTTAATTGAAGCAATCCTGAGATAAACCAAATGAGGGAGCAAAGTGGAGAAAGAAAGGAGCAAAAAGGAATCAAGTTGTGCAGCTGAAAAGTTCGATCGATCCAACTTAGAGTTCGATCGATTGAACATCTATGATCGATCACAGTACTTCTCGATAGATCCAACCTTGGCCTTTGCTGAAATTCCAAGTTCGATCGATCCAACATCACCTTCGATCAATCGAACCCTATTTTGTCCTATTCAAATTATTGATCTTATCCACAGCTGTACGCCTACCAACCACTTTTGTCTTTTTCCCCATAAATATCTTCGAAATATCTCAGCCTTGTCCTTATCCGGAGGAGTCAGACCACTTCGATCGATCCAAGATGCAGTTCGATTGATCGAACCCATTTTCGATCGATCCAAGTTAAGGTTCGATCGATCGAACTTCCTCCAGCGAGAAAAAGTTAAAGTCCAGCTCATTTATTCCGTCCTTCATCCAATCATTGGAGAATATGCCTTGCACGACCACAGCTCATCACGGGGTGTATTTGACCTACCTATATAAAGAATATGATACACTTTTTGAGGAAGTTTCTAGAGCCTCTTGTCACACATTGAAAATCATCTTGGAGGCTATTCTTGGAGAGGAAGAAGGGAGGAAGCTAGAGCAACCATTGGAGGAGATCTTCACCAACAAGGAACAGCCATGGAGTTAGCCCTTGAGGGTTGGATCATCACTACCATGAGTGGCTAGACATCCTCTTGGGGCTAGAGTTAGCCCCAAGCATGCTTTCTATACTCTAATCTTATGTATTATTGAGGGATTAGTGTTGTATGATACATCTTGATATTCATGTATATATAAATCTTGATTATTTCATGGTTTGTATGGTTTAATGCTTCCAATTGACTATTCTATTCTATCCATATATCTATGTATGCTAGAGTAGGATATTCATGTGTTTATCTCTAGATTTAGTGTTTTTGATGCATGTCTATGTGTATTGATGCTATAGATCTAGAGATTATCAAGATGATATGCTTAATGAATGCTATTTTGGTTCATTTGATGGTTTATGCCTACTCTTGATGATTTGTGCCTCTCCCTTAGTCTAGATAGCTTTATTTTCATGCTAGTAGTGTAGATTTAGTGTATTGGTAGTGTAATGTTAGATGGGAGGACAATCTACTCTTGATATTTGATGTTCCATGCTTGTGAGTCCAAATGACATATTCCTCTAATATTGTGTTGTATGTGGATTGTGAGCTTAATGAAGGATTAATGACTTGTTTTGATCTATTGTGCTATCCACATGTTGTCTAGACAATATATGCTCTATTGTTTAGATATATTGTGCTCTTCACATGATGTTTAGACAATACTTGCTTGATTTGTCATCCTTGCCAATTGAATCAACCTAATGCACACACACCCTTATCATATTGCAACACATCCATTACCCTCAATTGATCACTTGTTAGTAGTATAGAAAAGTATTTCTTGGTGGTGATCTCTACACCCCAAGACCTCTCTCTCTTGTTTACTTCATATTATTTTATTTAGTTGAATTCAATTTAGCTTAATTAACCAACCCAACTCTCTTTTGCAATCATTTGGTATGCTAGAGTCGAAGTTGAAATTCCAACACGTATAATCCCTTGGGACGATCCCTACTCACCCTATCTATATTTTATATAGAGAAAGGTAGTAGTAGCTTTCTATAAATGTAAAACTTGGCCACCTCCTAAATTCACAACTCTTCAAGCTTTGTTGGTTATGGCGACTCCATCAAGGAAACCAACACTCTTTAGTTTGTCATGTTCGAAGACATGGCAATGAGGTGGCTTACGCATTAGCAAAACTATCGAAGTACTATCTCTTGAGTGATGTGTTTCTTGAGATTGTGCCATGTAATATCTTGCTCCTTGGTGAGCAAGATATACACAGTTCTGCTATGTAATTGTTCTCTTTGACAGGGAAAAAAAAATCTCATACCCAAGTTCTGTGTCCTAATAAACATGTCACTCAAGAAATAGAACAGTCAATCACTACTACCAAAAAAAAAAAAAAAATCTCAAATGAGCAGAATTAAAGAAAAAAATTGAGTGCACGGTCGAAAAGACAAACATCATTCTTCATATCAATGCTACTTGGCTACTTCATCTGCACCGTCGATTCACATGGCAATCTGGGTCAAAATGTGACCATCAGAACGGAGATATCGGGTTCATCTCAGACCACCAGTGCTTTGTCTGTGCTCCTTTCGGCCACTGCTATGTCTTTCTCAAGTCATATAATTAATTCTTTCCATATCTACAAAGGCCATGTTGAAAGTTATTACTACTATAAAATATTTTCTGCTGATCGAGCAGCTGAGCAAGGCTGCTAAAAATGACTTTCTAGCAATAACGGTGATTATAGAGAAGCGGCGGGGATGAATGTCTGGTGGTGGTGGCAGTGATGGTGCAGTGATGATTTTGGTAGCGAAAGTAATAACAGTGGTGGATGACTATGGTGGAGAAGATGATGGCAATGGAAATAGTGTGCTGGCGCAAATGGAGGCAATGTTGGAGCAAGTGGTGGCAGTTCTGGAAGATTGACGGACAACTGCATTAGTGGTGGTGAGGTACATGAGTTATTAAAATTGCCAGGACAATTTAAAAGTTCAAAATAGCTTATCTTCCTTGAGACATGTTTATATCTTTATTTTTATTTTTTATTTTTTATTTTTTATTTTTTTATTAATTGGTATTCACACACGTGTCTTCTGAAATTCGAATCTTGACCTCCCTTTAAAACATAAAAGTCTGATATAGCTAAGTCACTAACATGTTTGTATGTTTATATCCTTTCTATAGCCATATTCAGATTTTGAATTGAAACTGCAAAATCAAATTCAGTCCCACCCCATTTCCTCAAACCAAACACACCTAGAGAAATCTAGAACATAACCTTAGATGAAAAAATAATAATAATAATAATAAAATAAAATAAAAATCGAGAAGCACTTTTGAAAGTACAAAACCATAAGGTTATTATGTTCTTCAAATAGAAGATCAATATATAATTGATCAATATATAATTTCTCTAGGCTATATGGCCATATATTAACCAAACAGAAAAAACAGGTAGAAGAGACGGAAATATAATTGAAAAAAATTAACCAAATAAAAAGCCAGCATCCTTCCTTTTCTTCTTGTGTGAATCAACTTATCTTATACCAAGCTAAATAAGCCTTCGCACTTACCTACTTTTCACAATACTTCTATGGATGTCTGTCGGCAATAGAAAAAACCAAAACAAGAAAGAAAAATAACATTCTTCAATATTACAAGGATTTGGGTGATGCACACAAACACTGAGACATGATATATATACATTTTTCTTATCTTCTTGTTGAGCCAATGAAGTTCTTTCCTGATCCACTAGAAACATGGTGAAGTTCCATTTGATCCACCTTTACTGGCTTTGAACAAATTCTATAGTTGGCCCATTGATGTGTTCCTGTATAGCAAAGAAATCTGATTATATAATATCACTAAACCAACTGAAAGAAATTCATAAACAACATTCTTTAGACTCTGGTTCAAATTTGTGAAGTTTGATATAATAACTGAATAATGTGTCATTTTCAAAGCCATGGATATCATATGGGTAGAGAAGTTCAAGTTCAAGCATAAATGGATTACGCATTATAATCAAATAAGGATAGAATAAGATATCAGGTAGAAAAAACAAGTTTGTGAATATAATTTTAAACAGTTATTTAATAATTACTCAAAAGAAGATCCTTTAATTGAATTACATGTTCCTGCACATAAGGGAATTTTTAATTTTTTTTTTTTTTTTCTAAAAAAAAAGGGGGGGGGTAAACAGAAACCAAAATCCAATCTTTTCCTTTATCCTTGTATTTGTTGTTATGAAGACTGGGTATAGTTGGAAGCTGTAAACCCACTTTTTTCAGCCCCACAAACAGAATCACACGATATCAAATATTGAAAATATATATATATCAGTAATACTAAATTTAAGATTAGTAAGAGAAAATTAAGACGATAAACCGATGTTCAAGGAAATGAAAGAAAAAATAAAAAAACATTTGAATATAAAATTAACAACTAGGGAAACAGACCAGATCTCAAATATGTGTTTAGATTAGAAAAGAAGTTTTAAAATTTTTAGTTAATAAATGATCCAGTATAAAATTAGTGATTACGAAAAATATAGATTTTGAAATTCCCCAATGACATACCAAGTAATATTGCGGGTTCATGACTGGATGAATACCCCACTTTTTCACCTTCAATAGCCGTCCATCAGGATAGGATCCATCAATTGAAGCCTTAATGTAACACCACCCATCAGAATCGCACATCCATCCTGTGTTGGGTGTATGAAGAAGCATGATGAAATCTGACGTAGTTCTGTTGATCCAATCACCTATAAGATAACCAGGACGACCTCCCTCCTCATATTTACCGTTGATGTGGATACAAAGTGAATTCTTATACTTGTCATTGTTATCGTCCTCGTCATCGAATGGTTTCTCATTACCGATAACAGCACAAACAGAAACTCCTTTGAGGTAACGTAAAGAATTTGAATAGATCCTCAAACACACCCAAGTCATGTCCACACCATCACTCTCATATTTTATATGGCTGAACCAACTTGGAATCTCACTTCCTGGAAAAAAGACCTCACCGTTTGATCCCTGTACCATGAAAACCATACATGAGGGGCTGGTTAATCTTGAAATATATTGACAGACATAAAAACCATAGATAACGTATACACACAACAAATACATACGCCTGCCGGTAAATCTTCACTTTTTGAATAGTATATATTTGGCTTCTTGTTCCCGTTCCCATTCCCATGATTCTCTGTCAAATTGAAGTTGAAATTGCATCCATCACTTGTTCGAATGGAATACCCTTCTAGTGATACGCAACCTTGTGCCAAAACTTCTGTTGTAAATTCTGGAAGTGACAATGTTTGGAGGCTTGAGCAACCACACAAAGAAAGACATCGTATGGATGATGGAAGTGACTCCAATGTCTGGAGCCTTACACAATCGTCCAAAACAAGTTCATAAAGGTCTGTAAGTTGAGAGAAGCTTGACCGTAAGCTAACAAAGTCATTCCTGCTTAGATCTAATTTCCACAACGAGTGAGGAAGATTGAGAATAGATTCTTCATCTAAATTGCTGTAACGCCAATATAATTCTAGAATACTCAACTGTGCAAAGGATGATGGTAACTTTTTTACACCACTACCACTCAACCAAAGTTTCCTTAAACTCTTCATTTCACCAATATTGTCCGACAAACTGCCAAGCATTTTGCAATGACACAGACGTAACTCGATTAGGCCTTCGAGTTGTACGATAGATGGAGATAAATCTTTTATAGGACTTTCATACAAGTATAGTTCCTTCAAACTCTTCATATCTCTGTGGATCTCTGGACACTTCTCAAATTTTGAGCACCCAGCTAGAGAAAGCACTTCAAGAGATTTTAAATTAATTCTTGTTGCGAGAATCTTCAGATTTTCACATTTTTTTGAAACTCAACCGAATAAGCCTCTCATGAAATTCAATAGACGGATGAACCTCAACCAGACTTGTACAACCTTCAAAAATCAATCTCTCCAAACATGGCAACCCTGACAAATTAGGAGTTTTCTTCAAATTTGTGCAATAGCTGAGATCGACCAATTTTAACTTATCTTGAAACTGTTAAATCAAACAATTAAAAAATAAAATAAATCAACTACAACCAACTCAAATATAATTATCCAACAGGAGGGGAAATGTATGTAAAATAACAACCTCACCATTAACTTCTAATCTTCTCGTCTCATTAGAAAACAGAGATAGAAAACACATGACAGCTACATGTAGTTTCCCGTTTCCTTTAGTTTTCATTTTTCGTTTTCCTTTTCCTTTTCTATCTCTCACATCAGAAAATAAAAAATAGACTTAAGAAAAATAAAAAGACTCAGGAAAGAGAGAGTTACTGAAATTATACAATCACTAGATCAATACCATTTGTTCAATTAGTTTATTTCAATTTGCATTAACTTGGGTATAGTTAAATGAAATGTAGGAGGTGTAAGTAAAAGTAAGAGGAGGTGAGTAAATGAAAAGAATATAAATTTTCCAACGTACATTTTATTAGTATATAACTTTTTTAAAGAAAATTAGAAAAAATACCATTTCATAATTTAAAATGCATGAAACTTGAAAGAAAATAAAGTACAATATTCTAATCAAATGACCAAAAATTTCGCCTCCTTGTCTATTACCAATTTGACCCAAACATAGGTAGTTAGCAAGAAATTCAATTTTTGTTTTTTACATGCTAAATTATAAAAATGTACACTTTAGTTTGATTTGGTATAGAAGGTAAAATTATAGAACCAAACTCATCATAACTGTTTTAAGAATAAATTGAAATCAGAAACCCTCAAACAACCTAAACTGAACCATTCTGGATTGTACAAAAACAATTTGCATTGGCCAGCTTCACGAATTGAGCTCATCCAAAAATAAAATCCAAAAATTATAGGTTAACTTAAATCAAGCCTTTATAAACATAATTTCTATGATGTAGATAAAATATTTCTCAATTTTCCATTTGAGATTGTGTTCCTAGTTTCTAATCTAACAGGTAGTAACATATGTAATGTAAGCCTACGATAAGAAAAGTTATCAAATCAAAATAAATAAGTTTATATATATATATATATATATATATATATGCAAGCACTAAGGTTCAATAGAATTTTTTTATTTTTTATTTTTTGACATCTAAATAGAGACTACTTTTGGAAGTAGAAGTGAACTGTTGATCAATGAAACTGAATCAACTCATACAAAAAACCATCTTTATTAATGAATTGACATAGTATCTAATTTAAATCATAATGCCATTTTAATTAGTTAATTAATATGGTTTTTATTTTTTATTATAAAAAATGATAGATTTTTTAAAATGTTTGGAGATGAACCTAAAGCTCATGTATTTAATTATAATTATAATAGTAGTTATCATAATTATTATCTGCATGGACATTCTTTTAACTATGCCCCAATAATTTGGAGATGTTCTTGACAATTTTTCACTGTAACCTTAGTGACACTGCTTCGGCAGTTGTTGAAAAATGAAAATGTAATCTAATCTTAACTACCCATGAAAATGTAACAATCTTTTTTTATTATCTTTGAGGCGTTGTTCGCTACTTTCTTATGGGCATAAAGTATAATCTAATCTAATCTTAACTACCCATGAATTCCCCTGTTCTTACTTAAGAGTTGGAATCCATGAGGTCGGCTTGATTGGCCAGTCGACGTGGGAACTCCAACAAATTAAGGGTTTTTCAAAAAAAATTCCATATATATATATATATATCAATGACTTTAACTAATCCAAAAGCTTTTGGAACAAATAACTTATAATATAAATTATCTTCAACCAACTTGACAAAGAAGTATTTTGCAAAGAGAAGCCTATTGCAGTTAAAATAATAGCATTACCTTCTTGTCGTCGAATCCAACCTCAACCAAGCTTTCACAACCTTTAAGACACAATTTCTCCAGAAATGGAAACCTTGAAAAAATAGGATTTTTTCCCAAATTTTTGCAGTAGCTCAAATCAAGGACTTTTAACATCTTTGAAAACTGTTAAAAAATAAATAGTAAAATAAGTTACCTTCAATGGACCAGAGAAAATTATTATTTTAAAAAAACTGGAAAAAAAATTTACCAAAAGGAAAATAGACTGAGTAAAATAATTATCTTACTTTTGTATTCAACCAAATCTCTTTGATCCGGCAATTACGTAAATGGAGTTGAACGAGATTTTTTGGATGAAAATTGTATGGCAAATGTTCTGCGGGATAGTCACTCCAGTCAAGATACCTTAACTCATTTGAAAGATAGTTAGGGCATTCATGAAGTTCCACGCCACTGATTTTGAGTATTCTTAACTTCCTCATCTTTGTGAAGGCATCTACGCTTACATGCAACCTTCCCTCTTCTTCAACGTCTTCTAAAGATAATTCTCTCTCAGGTAACACAATGCCTTCAATATTTTCTGTCCCCTATCAACCAATAAATAAAAACCTAATTAAAATTATACAACATCAAAGAAGAATATCTGGATAATACAATACAAAAAACTTTCTATTTTTTTTTTTTTTTTGCACATCTTGCACATGGAAATTAAGAAACTAACATATATGCCTTTAACATGTACCGTATTTTCAGTAAATACTTCTGATATGTCCGCATAAGACCATAGCCTGCTACGCCTCCCAGGATCATCAGATTCTTGACGAACAATTTCTCTACCCATTTCTTGTATCAAATCATGCATTGACAACTTGTTGTCTTTTGATATATTAATGAGGCACCGTTCTCTAAGAATTTGTATTCCAAAAGCCGTGTCAAATTCAGGCCTTTTTGAAAAGTCTAGGACATATTTCTTATTGTATCCTTTGAAGAAACATGCTATATCAAGAAAAATATCCTTTTCTTCCTTATCAAGGCCTTCATAACTAATTCTTAAAACTTCATGAATTTCTTTGGGAGGCTTGGTCTGCAACCTATTCAATATAGTTAAACAATCTTGCTTGCTTCTATTACTTAAATAGGAACCCAAAACTTGAAGAGCAAGTGGAAGGCCTTTGGCATAATTTTTTGCATGGTGTGAAAGTTTCTCATATTCTTCTTTGGGCTTATTTTGCTTGAAAGCATGCCAACTAAAAAGTTCTAGTGCTTCAATGTCATTTAGTACCTCAATATCATATATTCCAACATTGTATTTTTCCAACAAACGTTTGTCTCTAGTTGTTATGATGATCCTACTTCCATTTCCAAACCATTCCTCTCCGACATCTCCAACTAAGTACTTCAATGTATTTTCTTTCTCTACATCATCGAGCACTAGAAGAAGCCTTTTATTACGAAGTCTCTCCTTTATCTCATTGATACCCCTATCAGGATATGATATGGTTATATTTTTATCCATTAAGATCTCTCTGAGAAAATTGCATTGTAGTTTAGCTAAACCACTATGATTTGTTGACTCTTCTCTCACGTTTTCAAGAAAACAACTTCTTCCAAAAATTTTTGATATTCTATTGAAAATTGCTTTGGCTACCGTTGTCTTACCTGCTCCTCCAATTCCACAAATCCCAACAAAGAGTTTGTCCTCCTCAAGCAAAGAGATTACTTTGTCCACACGCGCATTGATACCCACTTCGTAATCAGTAACTCTGAATGGTTTAGGCTGTAGTTTTTCTAAAATCACTTGAACAATGCTTTTGATAAACTTATCCTCGTATCTATCAAGTAGAAAGCAAATTAAAATCAAAATCTAAAAAATATATATATATATATATATATATAAAGGTTGAAATAAGTATTTAGTCATTATAACTTAATATAGGGAAATAATAATAAGGGTTAAGTGCTAAAAAAACTCCCTCGTTATGTAAAAAAATGTGCAAGAAATACCCTTATTAAAATTAAGTTATGAAATACACTTATTAAAAATTAAGTGCATAACTCCCTATATTATCCACATTTGGAGCAAATTATACCATAATCATCAATTTTAACCAAATTTTTTTTTTTATGAAAACCCCAAAATGCGCCTGCTAATGTAAGCAAGGAAAAAGAATATTTTTCCCTCTCTATTCTCTCTCTTTAATCTGCTAATGTAAGCAAGGGAAATAAACCTTCCTGTCCTACCCTCCCGGAGAAACCCAATTGCAGATTAAACCGTGACAAATTGTTGAATCAAGATCGCTGCTCGCCCTGGTGCGATCAAACAAGACCCACACGAACATAATACAAGCACTACTCAATTTGAATCCTCTGTTCCTGGTCTTAGAAGACTCTTTATTGCCCAAATAGTAGACCCACATCAACTACTTGTTCCGATTTTTTAATTAGGTGTTATATATATATATATATATATATATATATATATATATTTGTACACATATAGTTTACAGGTTACATCAATAATGTGGATGGACAAAGAAATCTTATGAAACTAATATGAACTTGGACAATTGGATAGATTTAATAATATTTTAAATCATAGCAGATGGTTCAGTAGATTGCAAAAAGAGTTAATCCGAACATGTAGATTGAAGAGAGAGAATGAGATGGAAGAGAGCGAGGGTTCCGGTGGGGTTGGATGATGCCGCCGGTGTGGGGTGGAGATGGTGGTAGTGGTGGTGGCGCCGCCCACTATTGTGCCGCCGGTGTAGTTGTAGGGATGATAGTGATGGTGCCTCCAGTGGGAATGGGGCGGCCAGTTTGGGTTTATCCTATCACAGCGCTCTCATTGACATATATTTCTCCTATATTTATATATATTTTTATTTTATTGTAAGGATATATTAGTCAATTTATGGTTCAATTTTTTCAAAAATCCTTATTTACACAAATTAAAAATGGAGTTTTTCCAACTATAGGAGAATAATTACACATTTTGTATATTATGAAGGGGTATTTTTTGTCCTTAATTCTAATAATAATAATTAGAGCTGATATAACACTTCTAACAACCGGTTTGCGACAGTTAAAAATGCTCATATCCATTTGACTATTTGCTATTAACAAATATAAAATAAGAGTGAGTGAACATGTTAGTAACAGAACAAAATGCCATGACCCCGTCTTTATATAATTTTACTTAAATATGGAGTTTGCCACCGGATAACGGCAGTCTAAAGTCTAATTAAGATATGGGACTGTAATATATTAGGATGTTAATATATATACTTTTGTTGCTGCTCTTGATCGATCACAAATAATAAAATAAAATACTATTTACATTGAACTAAGCTAGTACGTAGTAAGTAAGTGACTGATAGAAGCAGAACATATACACCGAGTATATATATATATATGTACGTACCCATTTGCTTCATCTTCTAAATCGAATCCACTTAAATTTGCAACTTCCTTCAAAGCAGACCTCCATTTTTGCATCCTTTCCATCTCCACCTTATAAATTTCTTCATGCTGTCTAAATGCTTCGGCGTAACTCCTCTTCTGGTATCGAACTTCAGATGGTTTGACATGGTAGAAGATGGGCAAAACTATTAGTCCCTTGGTCTTACTGCAATCAAGGATCTCCACCAATTCATCCAGGCACCATGACGAATTAGCATACTTCTCCGAGAAAACGATCACAGCAATGCTTGATTCATTGATACTTTTCCAGAGATCAAAAGAAATGGATTTTCCTTGCTCAAGCCTTTCATCATCTTTGAAGGTCCTGATTCCTCTCTGATCCAGAGCAGTGTAGAGATGCCCCACAAAACTTTTGCGAGTGTCTTCACCTCGAAAACTCAAGAACACTTCATATTCGGATTGAGAAAGTGAAAAAGAAGATGAAGCAGTAGCCATAGGCCTTGCTTAATTGTTACTCGAAGCTAGAGATCGGACAGCAGTAAGTAACTATATATATATATATATATATATATATATATTGCCTCTTCAATTCTTAGCCATTAAGATAGATGCTTATTCAAATCTTAAAGAGCAGGAATTTGGTTGTGAGTTTCCATGAACCTTTCTTCGTTAATATATATATTGCCTTTTCAATTCTTAGCCATTAAGATAGATGCTTATTCTAATCTTAAAAAGTTGTTTCTTCAGGTACAGTTCTCTACATGTATAGGAGCCATGTTTGTGTACATATATTAATTTGAGGCCGCTGTCAGTTGTTTGAGGTGTCAGCAGCCAATAGGCTGCTGAGTTTTGCTATTTTTTATTTTTTGTTTTTTTTGAGCCTGACACTTTTGATTATTTTTTTATTATTTTTTCTGTTTCTTTGTCTATTCTCTCTCTTCTCTGAGAGAATATTGGGAACCCCAAGGGTACTTCGTCAGTATGTCCACCTGCTATCCCCTATCCAATAAAAACATGACACCTGGCTAATTTCCACATCAGTTTCATACTCAACAAGCCACTAACGGAGACGTTAACTTCCCTACTTTCTCTCTCTACCCTTTCCTTCACCGTAGTCTCTCTCCTCAGCTGACCGTCATAACCAAGCTCGCCACCAGCCTCTCCCCAGCCCCATCCGACTGGACCGTCGCCGACTACTGTGGTCGGGCCTTGACTGCGACAACTAGAACCGGGTCACCGCAATCAACCTCAATTCCAAATCTTTCTATTTAAGTTCTGATTTTTGAATTCATCTTTTGGCCAGATCCATTGCATAGTGATGGTTTTCTGTGTTGCTTTTATGATTTTTAAATGTTGCGGGAAAAAAAAAATCAAGATAAATGTGAGCTTGCAATCTTACACAGGTTGTGTTTGGAAATAAATATTCAAAGAATTAAACTTCTAATTTTTTTTCTTTCCCGTGAACAGAGCATTGAGCACTTTGTCTTGTCTTTTATTTTTTTCTTTTCCTTTGTGGGTCTCACCAATTTGCAGACTTTGAGTCTCAGCGACAACCCCAGTTTGTCGCCATGGACGATTTTTCAATAACTTCCCCAATTTGCAGAATCTCCGGCTGTTTGACAACAATCTGGTCGGTCCGTTGCCGGCGTCTTTTGGGTCATCGGAGATTCAGAAGCTCTGGCTGAACAATCAGTTGATGGGATTGTCGGGTACGATCGACGTGTTGCCCACGATGATCCAGCTCTCTCGGGTGTGGATACAGCAAAATGGGTTCACGGGTCCGATCCCGGACCTGTCTCAGTGTGTGAATCTCTTCGATTTGCAGCTCCGGGACAACCTGTTCAGTAGTCGGCGCCGGTCCAGTTCAAATCTCTTCAGTAGTCGGCGCCAGTCCAGTCGGATGGGGCTGGCCGTTGGCGAGCTTGGTTATAACGGCGGCCTCGTCAGCTGAGGAGAGAGAGAGTACTGTGAGGAGAAAGAAAAGAAAGGGTAGAGAGGGAAAGTAGAGAACTTAACGACTAACGGAGGCTTGTTGAGTATGGAGCTGATGTGGAAAGTTAGCAAAATGTCATGTTTTTATTGGATTGGGAGTAGCAGATGGACATGCTGACAGGGTACCGGTACCCAATATTCTCCCCTCTTCTCCCTCCCCTAATCTTTCTCTCTTTATGTCGATTCTCTTTTTTTATTACAGCCAAGAACTTGGGCCGGAACTAGCAGACAATGGACCGACGAGCAAAGGGCGGCCCATAAAATTCGAAGTGGGTTCGAGTCCTTGTGTGAGATCGTTTGAGTTGCAGAGAGTCGCCGACGAAATGGCGGTTGTCAACGTTGACGGTGATGGATTCAGTTGAGCCACAATCGATGAGGTAGTGGTCGATCGAAGAGAAGGAGGTTGCGATTGCAAGGTTAATGCGAACAGATCTGGCGATGGTGGATCGAGCTCGCGGCGGATCTGGCGGAGACAAGAAGACGATTGTGAAAACAGATCCGGCGGCTGTGTGATGAGCTTTTGGTCGGCGCGGTGAGCTTGGCGACGGTTCACGGGTCCTATCCCGGACCTGTCTCAGTGAGCAAATCTCTTCGTTTTGCAGCTCGGGGACAATCAGTTCACCGAGGTCATGCCTCCGACATTGAGTTCTCTTCCCAAATTGGTGAATGTCTGGTTACAAAATAAGAAATTGTAGGGTCTAATGTCTGTAATTTGGGGAAACAGTAGGGGAGGGAGAAGAGAGAGAATCGACAAATGACTGGCCCCTTTCCAAGACTTTTTAACGCGAGAGGTCGCTTCGCAAGGTCAAAATATGAATGTGGTTTCGGAAACTTTTCTAGTCAAATTTCCATTTATAAAAATCACTACTACAACTAATGAAGTATAGTGAGTAGGGATCGTCCACAAAGATTATACGTATTAGAATTTAACTTCAAATCTAATGTATCAACTGATTGCAAAAGATAGAGATTGGTTAATTAAACTACGATGCAAAGAAATTAAAATACAATTAAAATGAACTAAGTTAAGATAGGGATTTAAGAGATAAGAAGTAAGGTCTTGGGGTGTATTGGAGTTGCCACCAAGCTCGTTCACCAAACCACACACTTTTCAACTAATTTGGGGAAAACATTCTTGTGAACAAAATATGACTACCAATTGCAATATTAAGCATGGACCATCAAATTAAAGAATGAATTTTCTACCTAACCGACAAATAAACTAAGTGTAGCACAACCCATCAATTCTAAGCATGACCCATCAAACTAGTCACAATTGTAGCACACGTCAATCCAGAGAATCATGGAATTTGCAATAATAAGTCATGGAATATCAAAGCAAGTAAAGATTGTCTATCTACCAACGAGCATAAATTAAATTGTAGAACAACCCATTAAGCATAAGTATAATCCATCAAATTAATTGACAAACCCATCTAATAATAACCATGTCTAGCCATCACTAAATCCTTAATTAATCACACATAGACATTGTAATACCCCTAATTTCAAAAAGATAGTCCTAGTATTTAATTTATGCTTTTAATTGAATTTTCATTTATTTAATTGTTTACTTGACATATTTATTACTTGTTTAAATTGGTTTTTAAGTTGCATGACGTGTTTAAATGTTTTATTACTTGAATTGCTCGCATTATTTGTAATTTAGTAAGTTCAGTGTGATTTTTTTTTAAATTGTTGTATTTAATTTTATTTTTGTTTAAGTGGTTTAATTTAGTTATTTTAATTGAATTAATTTAATTTAATATAATGGTTTAATTGTTAAATTGTCGTGATTTAATTGTAACTAATTAGGGTTTTATTTTAAAAGTCACGTTTGTAGCCGACGTAGGTTTTTTTTTAAGTTTCTTTGGGCTGGTTAGGATTTCAGTTGTGTTTTGAATTAATTTAGGGTTGGGGATAACTCTATAAATATATAGTAGACGTCTGTTTAGGGTTTTAAAAACAAATAAAACCAAAACACGTCTGTGGAAATAGCAGAGAGAGAAACAGAGGAAGTTTTACAATATTTGAGTTCGCCGGAGATCTTAGAAGACGGCGTAGAGATTTTGAACAAAGATCTCAAAGGCAAGTTCTGTCTTAACTCTCTCCCTTAGACTTCGTGTTCTTTGCATGCTTAAATAGTTTCAGGATGATTTATATGTTTAAAATAAAAACGTTATTTGTTTTCTTGATTAAAAGTTTAATTGTAACAGAATCTGTTTTACATGTGTTAAACTGTTCCGAGTTGAAACTTTCTTGTTTAGTTCTCTGTTTAATCCATATTAGTAATATAATAAGGACTGAAACAAGGGTTGGAATCTACTGGGACTAAGTTAAAATCTCTGGGAACCTATACTGTGAAGTGCCGGAGGTGTAAACGACGACTGAAAAAGAGAAAACGAGGCAGAGGAGGGAGAGAGCCGGCTCCTCTTTGGATTGGAGCCGGCTCTTCTTGGTTTGGAGGTGGCTCCAAGACCTTTGGAGCCAGCTCCAAGACCAATGGAGGCGGCTCCATGTTTTTGGAGCCTGCTCCATTTTTATTCTTCCCAGTTTTCTTCGTTGTGTTGGTTTTTCTTTTGGTTTTCAGTGAGACAGGTGCTTGATTATGGAATTTCTAAGTGTTCTAAGAGAATTAAACACTGTAATGGATGGTTTAACAGTGGTCTAGAGTCGGATTAAAGTTTCAAGGGATTTAATAATATAGATTTAAACACCTAGTTTTAAACATTAAAACTGTATGGAAGTTTTATGTGCCTTGCAGACCTGTTTGGTTTTGGTTAATGTATTTCCTAATTATTTTAAGAGTTATTGTGAGAGTTATGCACTGCTAATTTCATATTCAAAGAATAGAAATAGATGCTAGGAAGCTATGTTTTCTTAAGCTTAATTGGTGAGTAAATTTCTAAAATGCAGTGCATCAATCTGTTGAGCAGAAAATTATAAGTATGATAATTTCCTTATACTTCTGTTGCATGCTATGGAATTGAATGAGACAATATTTATTTTAGGCTCTGTTAATTATATGGAAACTGGGAATAGAGTTATAATACAGATACAGTCCTGGGTGATCAAGTTATGATTCCTCTATTGGTTTAATTAAGCATATCTGTTAATCTGCTCTAACATGCTTAGTTTGGAATTCTTGGTATTGACATTTATATGGTCAGTATTTTATCAACTGTTAGTTTAATGAAAGCATGTTTGATAATTTACTTTAATATGCTTAGTATGGAATTGTTGATATTGTTATTGTAAATACTTTACCAACTAATGGATGGAGGAGATTGTATGCACCGGTATGGGACGGTGTCATACTAGGTTTGGATTAGCTCAAGTTGCTAAGTCCTACCTATTTTGGAATAAGGGCACGGGTTATTAAATAAAATCCTCCTTATATTTATGGGTCAGTACGGTTGAATACGCTGAACGACTTACTGGATTTCTTGTGGATGGTTAGGAACGGAATTTAAATATATTTTTATGTTACCGTGACATGAGCTTGAGTCTCAGAGTCGATGGTTAGGGGGCGTATATGCAGTTGGATGTGTAGCTAGCTGTGAGGGTTGAGGTATACCCTGTTTAGGTTTAGGTACTCTTGCCCA